CAAAGATTTGTCTGTCATGCTCTTTTTTTTGCGGAACCTGGGATTGAACTCAGGACCTTGCGCTTGCCAGGCAAGTGCTTATTCTGCTGAGCCATCTCCCCGACCCCTGTAATAATTTCTTAATTCAAACACATTGTTCAAATATCTAATATCCTAAGGATTATATTTGTTTTACAGTGTGACCAGTCTTAAACCTGTGTGTTCTGACATTAGACATCAACTGTACCAGTCACACCCTCTTTTCTTTTTTCTCTTCTTCTCCTCCCAGCTCCCATTTCTTACTCTGTCACCCATTTCAAGTGATTTTGAATTAATTTCCCTAAGGATATGAGAGCAAATCAAGGTGAAAAGTGTTTGATCTAGTAGAGTAGGGAGGAAAAAGTATATGGTGGCAGATACATCACAAAGAACCAGAAGATAAAGGGCTATAAGAATTTCTACAGTATATAAACACTGAGGACTTGGTAGTTGGATTTTTTTAAAGGGATTTAGTTAAAATTGGAATTGCTTCTTTAGAACTGTTGGTTTTGGGTCAAAAGTTACAAAGAGAGTAGGAGAGAATTCTGATCTTACTGCCCCTGGCAGCCAATTCCCAGCTCACCTGAGTGTAGCCTGTTATCCCAAGCACAGTGGTAGAGTGTACGTCACAGTCACTGGAGAGCATAGATAAGCAGACTGAAGCCTGCCACTAGTGTGTCTGATTGGACAGGTTGAGGGAGGGGCCTGAGAATTTGTATTTCTAACCAGCTTCCAAGTGATGCTGTGTCCTTTCTGTTCCCAAACCACTGACCTAGTAGTCTCCCTTTGGTACCTCTGTCTTTAAGACAGTTTATCTTTGCTGCACATAATGAATATCAGTGATTATGCTGCCTAAATAGTATCTTGGGGTAATGGAGAAAGTTCAAAAAATATGTAATTTTTATAAATAGGTATAGTTTTCATTATGACTATATAAAAATGTCGCATTGCGCCAACCTCTCCATGTATGTTCTCTTTTTTTCTAAAGGGATTTCTTTTTTTCAAGTATGTTAATTTCAATGAGTTCTGTTTTAAGGAAGAAGCTTGAAGTATACTTTGAAACCCAGATATTTTACCTAAAACAAGGTGGGAAAGGACAAAATGTTACTATTGTTAACACTTAAAACAACTTTGTTAATTTTCCTAGGCTTCCTTTTTGTTTTCAAGGAAGGACTGGGCACTTTGCCTGACCTAAAATATCAGTTAGTGAGCAACAGAGCAAAAAATTGTAGTTTTCTGCCAACACTTGAGCCACCACACCCATTTCTGGAACTTTCCCTGATAGTTTATCCCATTCAAATCTGCTTTAAATTGGATTCTGACCAAGCCTGAAATATACCATAAATGTACTCCTGGTGGGCTTTTTTTCTTTTTGTTCCTTACCATATAGTATTATTCTCAGAAATTGCTTTTTGAAGGCTTTTCTGAACTTATATTTATAATCCGTTGGGACAGCAAATCACTAGGCTCAGGACACCAGCACATGGGGCTTTGCCTAGCTGTTTGTATCACTCAGCAAAGAAGAGGGTTTACCACTTTGAGCCCAAGCATGCTCCCTTGGAGAGGCTGCATCTCCTGGTACCTTTTCCTCATCATGGCACTTAAAGAAGTATACACTATTTGCTTAGAATCCAGAAATGAATTTGCTACCTTGTAAGAATTACTGGATGATGAAGTGTTAATTTTCTAAGTAGCTTCTTTTTCACACAAAACCAACTCAGCAGGTATCAAGGTAAGAGAATAAAGAGAATTAAATATTCTTAATCTCTTCCTTTGAAACCTAGGTGCATATGATTGGATTATTCATTATCCATGATTCCTATCATTATGGGTCATGCATAATGTACTTGTATCTTACCACTTATTTATTTCATTTCATTGTGATTTTATTTCTGACTTATAACAGTCATTTTATTCCCAATTTTAACATTTGAGGTAAAATTTACACAGTAAAATGTACAGTAAGAGTGAAATTTGGATGAGTTTGTTTTTCTGTTTTGTTTTATGGTATTGGAACCTGGATGGCCTTTGCACTGAGGTACCTCCTCAGCCTTTTGTTTTTTATTTTAGGAATGAGGTCTTGATAGTCACACAGACTAAGCTCAAATTTACACTCTTCCTACTCTAGCCTCTCAAAATGCTGGTATTACTGGCGTGTGCCACCATTTTTCAATATGTTCTATTTCTTTTAAAATAGAAAAGGTCTATTTGGAAAGCAAATATAGGAAAGTGTGTTAGAGAAATGTGGGAAGTAAAACAAAGTGAGACAATAAATGATGAATTGTGAAATAAGTTACTATGCAGAATGCTATTTAAGCCGCCTTTCAAGGGGAAAGTGTGCTAGAATACTTACAGTTTATGAATGCTCTGAAGAGCCATTAATACCAGGGCATTTCCGGGCCTTCCAGTGTGATAGCAAAGGACTTTGTGGAATTTCATCATCAGTAGAATTTGCCTCAGTGACAAATTGAACAGTACTACTTATGTATAAGGGGGTTTTGGTTTTGTTTATTTAAACAAAAAGCAAAACAGTTTTAAAGCAAGATAGTAGGGTAACAATGGTTAATACATTGGATATTGTTATCTTTATATATTAGTTGCTCAGAGTACAAGCTATAGACATTTAATTGTCTAAACAGTACTAGCACAAACCGTTCTTTTCAATGAAATAAGAGAAATTAGTAATATAACTATCTTAACTATCTTGCTTTAATCCAATTTCTCTTAACTAAGAGAAATTAGTAATATAACTATTTTAACTTCTCTTTTCTCCATTCCCCCATCCCAATTTCTCTTTCCATTTGGACAGTGTCTTCCCATTTTGCAATCTCTGTTTTATATTTTCAATCTTTTTCAGCTTCTCACACTAGAGAAATAGTACAGTATTTGCAAATGTGTGTCTGGTTTATTTCACTTATGAGTATGTTCTCAAGTTGCATCAATTTATCTGAAAAAGTCTCCAGTTTTATCTTTAATGGCTGAGTAGTACTCCACTATATAAAAAGATCACATCTTTTTTTACTCATTTTTCTGTAAATGGAGATTTGGTTCTTTCCAAGACTTAGTTACTACAAATTAGGCTGCCATAAACATGAGTGCACATATATTGCTGTGGAATGATGTTTTTAATTCTTCTGGGAAGATAGCCGGAGGGGAATAGGTAGGTTGAATCCTGGTTTTTTGAGGCATCTTCACACTGATTTCCATAGCAGTTGTACTAGTCTGCACTCTCACCAAGAGTAGAAAAGAGGTTCCCTTTTCCCCACAGCCTCTACAGCATTTATTATTGGTTGTTTTCTTGATAATAGCCATTATTTCAAGTGAGATGGAATCTCAATGTTGTTATAATTTGCATCTCTCAAAGGATCAATGATGTTAAACATTTTTTTCATATATTTATTTGCTGTCTCATATATTTATTTCTTCATCTGAGAAGTGTGTATTCATCTCAGATGCCCATTATGGATTTTAAAGAGTGCTAAGGACATTGGTCAAAACAGTTTCTGCTCTTTCAGTCCCAGCAGGTAAATTAGCACAATGGATTTCTCCAAAATACCCAAAATACTTGATGAAGAAAAAGAAAGCACATTTGGTTATGTGCATGGGGTCTCAGGCCCTGTTGTTATACCCCATGACATGGCAGATGCAGCCATGTATGAGCTGGTGAGAATGGGCAACAGTGAGCTGGTTGGAGAGATTATCAGGTAGAAAGGTGACACGGCTACTATTCAAGTGTATGAAGAAATACCTGATGTGTCTGTTGGAGACCTGTACTCCATGCTGGTAAATCCCTCTCCGTAGAGCTTGGTCCTGGCATTATGGGAGCCATTTTTGATGGTATTCAAAAGCCTTTGTCAGATATCAGCAATCAGACCCAAAGTATCTACATCCCAAGGGGAGTAAATGGGTGTGCCCTTAGCAGAGATATCAAGTGGGATTTTACACCATGCAAAAACTTATGGGTTCCAGTCCTAGCCCAGGTCCGGTGAGTGTGTGGAGAGCTTCTTGCTACCCTGCACTGGCGGGACCAGTCCCAGCCCAGGCGCAGCGTGGGCCAGACCCTCTGCCACCCCCTCAGGCCGCCCCCCACCACTCCGCAGTACCCCCCCACTCCGCCCGCCGAATAGGAATTTCTGCCGACTTCCAGGAACCCCCAGACCCAGTCCTAGCCCAGGTCCGGTGAGTGTGTGGAGAGCTTCCTACTACCCTGCGCCGGCGCGACCAGTCCCAACCCAGGCGCAGCGTGGGCCGGACCGTCTGCCACCCCCCTCAGGCCGCCCCCCACC